ACAAAGGAATTCTGAGTCATTTTGTGACAATTGATGGACATTTGCAAACTGAGCATTTAATATACGGTTGTTAGATTTTACTAACTAGTTCTGTAATTTGTCGTTAAATGCATTCGATTGTTTCCCATTGGTGTTCTGTTCACTACAGTAGGACGACCCGTTTGTTGGCTTCTGTACTTGGCTTCTTTCTCCTGATGAGTTGGGTTGGTGTTTTATGGTGAAGTTGCGTGGGTAGTCGTTAGATATTTTTCCTCATTTTTCCGCGCCGCAATGTGTTCTCATCTTCTTGAGTAAGATTTGTCCGAAGTTGATTTTCTGAGTTCTCGGGTTGTTGCTAGTGTAGTTGGGAATTTATTCTGTGCGGGTTGGTTACTGATATACTTGCTTCCTCAGTTTTTCTATGTAAAACTTCAATTTTGATGCTTCGTGTATTTTGGAAAATTTGTCTCGCTAGCGAGGAGCAGGCATAAAGTTTCCTTTGCTAAGTTTGATTCAATTGAGATGAACAAGGTTGTTACATCAAAGGATACTATCAATTCGTTGTTTTTTATTTGAATTTTCTTAACAATATCCAATACTCTTGTGGGAGATTTAATGGAGTGATTGGATGAAGCAGACAATGACAGGTTAAAGGTCAACAATAATCAGTCAAGATGGAGGTCGGCAGAACAAACTGTGAGTCATGTGTGGATGAATTCAAAAACTTCACTGCTACCTGAAGATTTGCTGATAATGTTAGTTAGCCCCCAAATGCCTTGGTATGGCCGAGAGTGGGGGGGGGGTTCGCCTTCCCTCTCGAAATACTCTCACACGGCCACGCGTATACAGCCTCTGCCAGGAAAGTCCTATTCACAGCCTTCTCATGGGGGAGGTGTCGTTTACGAAAATGAGAGGACGACAAGCGAATGTCTGGCGCTTTAACCGGATCCCAAACCAATGGTGCACATGGGCTCCAGTATTTTGAGGGAACAAATGGCGTATGAACCAATTTGTTGATCACCGGCTTCCGATTGCGTCCAAGCTATTGGCTTCCGTCATACTTCGTAGGTTGTTCAAAACCCGAGAAGGATTGACTCGCGAGGAGCAGGCTGGTTTTCGTTGTGGTCGAGGATGTATTGATCACATCTTCACCCTCCGCCAAATGTTAGAACACTATCATATTTATCAAAGACCAACAATCGTAGTGTTTCTTGACATTAGGGCTGCCTTCGATTCGTTGGACAAGATTGTTCTCTGGGATTGTCTATTGAAGAAGGGTGTGCCTGAGAAGTTTATTAACAACCTAAAGGCCCTATATACAAACACCTCAGGCAGAGTGAGGGCTTACAACCACCTTTTTCCATTATTCTATTCCAGCAGTGGGGTTAGACAGGGTTGCCCAATCTCACCATTTCCTCTTCAACTTTGCCATCGATGACATTCTGGAAACAGCTCTGATGGATGTAAGTAATGGTGGTGTAGATCTGTTGTCTGGAGAAAAACTTCTCGACCTTGAGTATGCGGATGATACTGTCTTACTGTGCGAGAATGCCCAAGGCATGCAATCCTCACTTAATCAGTTGGCAATCAGTGTCCGTAGGTATGGTATGTGCTTTTCACCTTCGGAGTGTAAAGTACTTCTACAAGACTGGCAGGATTCTAATCTTGTACTCACTCTGGATGGTGAGCAGATAGAAGTAGTCAAGAAGTTCGTGTGCCCCCGGATGCCCTGGTACGGCCGAGAGTGGGGAGAGTCCGCTCTCCCTCTCGAAATGCTCTCAAATGGCCATGCGTATATAGCCCCTGCCAGGGAAGTCCTACTCACTGCCTTCTCGTGGCGGGGTGTTGTTTACAAAAATGAGAGGACGAAAAGCGAATGTCTGGCGCTTTAACCGGACCCCAAATCAATGGTGCACATGGGCTCCAGTATTTTGAGGGAACAAATGGCGTATGAACCAATCGTTGGTCACCGGCTACCATGGGACTGCATCTCCTCACGATGCTCCATTGCCTTGTGTGTCAGACGTTCAGGTCAAAGGCTCGGGGTGTGGCCCCCTAAGACAACCACCTGCTTCGGTTTGGGCACCCGGGCAGTATCACAGCCCTCACACAAATCAATTGAGCTTTGTGTGGCGCATATGTATTTTGGTGCCTCCCTGTACCTATACTTATGTGTTAAAATAAATAAATAAATAAATAAGAAGTTCGTGTATCTAGGTAGCTGCATAAGTGCTAGTGGTGGCGTGAGTGATGAGATCAATGCACGTATAGTGAAAGCCAGAGCGGCTTATGCCAATCTGGACCATCTTTGGCGCCTTCGTGATGTTGGTCTGGCTGTCTAAAGGTCGGATCTACAACGCGTCGGTGAGAGTAGTTTTGCTCTATGCTTGTGAAACCTGGCCTCTCTGAGCTGAGGATGTTAGACGACTCTTTGTGTTCGATCATCGCTGTCTCCGAAGGATTGCTGACATCCAGTGGCAACACCATGTTAGTAATGCAGAGGTTCGGCATCGTGTGTTCGGGCACAGAGAAGACAATCCAATTGGTATCACTATCTTGAAACACCGACTTTGGTGGCTTGGACATGTTCTACGAATGTCGTCCCAGAGAATTCCACGTCGTGCATTATTTGCCGACTCTGGGACTGGTTGGAAAAGGCGGAGAGGTGGTCAGTATATGACATGGTGTCGTGGTATGAAAGAAAGCTGTAAAGGGCTGGCTTCTGTTGGTCCTTCACGACTTCCTGGCTGGGGTCCGAGAGATGGTGCAACACAGTGGCTAGAGACGTTATCAGACATGGCTCAGAATAGAAGCCAGTGGCGATCCTGCTGTAGCCTTCTTTTACTTTCTTCGTAAAAAGTGGTTGCTTCTTCCTTAACTGAAAGATTTCTCCTGATTGTACTTTTTCGTTTCCCCCATTATCACTACCATTACACTACCTTACACTAATCAGGTCGTTATTGTTTCTTTTTTTCTTCCCTACTCTTTAAATTCCTCATTTTTTTGTGTGGCGCATATATATTTGGTGCCCCTTGTACCAATATTTATGTGTTCAAATAAATAATAAATAATAATAGTTAAAAGAACATTGAAAGCTACACGATCAGACTACCCAGCTTAGTGAACAAAACTTCACCTTAATGCAAGCATGTTTTGGGTGCGATCCACACCCTGTAAATGCAGTGTTGCTTGCTTCAGTGAGTTACTGTCTTACGCAATCTCATTACCTATTCAAAAGGCTCAGTTGATTTTCATCAAATTGCCTCACTTGTGTCGAAGGTGAAATGTCTGTCTCCCAACGAAATGGCAAGCTTATCGTCCAGTGGTTCGTCTTGTATTTATTATCTATTTTAACATATAGATATTGGTACAGGGAGGCACCAAATACATATGCGCCACACAGACCTCATTTGATATATGTGAGGACTGTGATACTGCCCGGGTGCCCAAACCGAAGCAGGGTTCGTCTTGTGAAAAGTGGTCTTTAAAAAAGATGTTCTTAAGTTACCAGCATTCATTTATAGGTACACTTCAAGTGTTGGACGCCTTTTTAGGACCACCGAGTACGGAATGCTGAGGTTATACACAGGTCACCAAGTATGTGTGGCAAATCAGTTAATAAGGTTGTGAATATTCATCGATTTAGTGGCCGAGACATGCATTACGTATCCTAAACCACTTCCCACCTCGACTTGCTATGTTTTCTGCTGTATGAGTGGGTTGAAATTAAGCTAAGGGCGGTCAGAAAATGTGTCTGTATACTTATATCTCTTTCGTGCTTATATAGACTTGGCCATCTGTTAGTCACTGAGTTGACCATTTCCACCACTCCAGTTCATATCCATTTCTTCTCGTCTCTTGTCTTTCGCTTACACTATCGAATGTCTTAAATACATGTTTCTCAAATACTTTCGTATTCGGTTTCCTTATGTCTTCGTTGTTATTGACGAAATACTTCGACAGAACATATATACAAAGCAAATTGGTTATGTTTCACCAACATTAATATCGTCCGATAACGTGGAGTCAGATCGCTGGCCTATAAAACTACCTTTCTGAGGATTATTGTGACCAAGTTAGGCAGTCAGTCAGTCAGCTGCAACGTAGGACCAGGCACATATATGCGTCGGTCCAAGTTTCCATGCCGCATTAGCACAACAAGATGAACACCGGATTCATAGAAGTAGTTAGTTCAGTGGTGGTAATATAAAGAAAGATTGTATATAAGGAGATAGTACAGGAAGAAAGAATTAGTTCATAGAAAGGAAGATATGAAATAATTTTAATCTCTTAGTTTGAAGGACCAACAGTTGTGGACGTTGAGTGACATGGCTCAAAACCGTTCTCAATGGCACAGACCCACTCACTGCCTTATTTTCCTTTAAGTCCTAATCAATATTAGTTAAAAATTTTTATTTCTCCAAATCGTCTTCTTTTAACCCGTATTCCCTAGTGTTTGCCTGTTTTCAATTCCAGTGATACTACAACTATTTTGTCTCCTTTGCTATTTATCCTGTTAGTTTAATCCTGCTTTAATGATATGGCATGACAACACATTTGTGTCAAGCTGTATGTTGATTATGAATGACTGACTAAATGACGCTTCTAGATAACTTCTAATAAATATTTCTTTATTTTCTTGTTAATTCTTATTTTCAGATTCGAACGTGAGGAAATTTGTCATACCATTCACATACAGAAGGTTGCTAGGAAAAAATTTCATTTGGTATCTGTTATTCTCGTGATATCTTCTTAAAACCTATATGATTGGGACGTAATGTAGCACTTATAGTTTATGTTTTCCATGAAATATCCAAAAAACGTTTAGTTTAAAGGTCGTCACTTATGTGACGTCCTTCTACCTATTCCCAAATTGTATAAGCTCGGTGCTTTCTGGAGCTGTGTTGAATATTACTTGTTGACTTTTTTTCACTATTACGATAATGAAATATCAATAGCCTAGAGTACATAATTCTTACTTGTGAATTAAAACTTGCTTGTAAAGGGTCACATGAGTAACAATGATATGGTCTTGGAATTCGATTGCGAAATTACTTGTCCCTTGTGAAGTTCTACTTGTTACTAAACTAATTTTTTGTTTATTATCATTCCCAAAATGTCTTTTTTCTTACAGTGTAGCTTTGTCTTCTGTGATTGGATGTATATTTTCATCTCCAATAACAGTATTTTCATTTTTCCTTGTAATGAATTGGATATCTTATTACTTTTACTTAGTGGTTTTTATAACCATTTCTAGTCGATCAATCTACTCAGATATTTGTAAGTTAATTTACTTGGGAATAACTTATAAAGTCCCGTTTACCTTAAGTAACATCGAGTTGTTTATTTATACATATACAAGTACGCTTTACTTTTTGGGGTTGTTAAATGAGAAAGAATCTGTTTTCGGTGTTATTTTTTGCTTTTTGGTTTTCTTTTCCCTGTGTCTCTATCGTTGCGTTCTTTCCTGGAAGGTATTACGCTTGTCCAACAACCATTTTGTACGACTTTTGTTAGATGCACGTCTACCCACAAGCTTATTTTTGTACGGTTTATATATTACTTGGCTTCTCAGTGTATGTTTTTATCTAGGGTCGCATATTTTTACAAGAATGTCCACTCCTGTTTCCAATACTATTCTCTGTACTGGTATTTTTCTCCTACAAGTCCATGTTAGTTTGATCCTGGCTTCTATTAAGCTTTTGATCTTACCCGTCAAAAGTTACAGTTTGTACAAAATGATTTCTACTTCATTTTTATCTATGGAAGGAATTAGTTTTCTTCTTATTTTATCTTATTCTGCATGGAAATTCTATCTAAGCGAGTCATCTCTTGTGTACTTAGGATACGCTGAAATATCAAGTCATGTCATTTTCTTAACTGTTATCTTTTGTCTTCTATATGTCTATGAAAACTTGTTACCATCAGTACAGTCGGAATTATTTTCTATGGACAAAATTACTATTTTACCTTCTGATTCTTGTAGTCTGTGCACCTTATCGCTGTTTCAGCCTAGTATTCTGACATCAGATGTTACTCTCAACTTCAGTGGCGAATGCCAGCACTTAATGCATATGTCATGTGCACAAATTTCGGAATCGATCTCATTTCCTTGCTTGCGATGTTCTGTAGAATCTTTCATCTGTGTACAGGGTAAGATTTGTATTTTATCTTTTGTGTTAATATTAAATCTCATGTTCATTTTATATTTTATCATACTTAATTTACATACATTTCTAATAAAAGTCTATATTGAAGTTTAGGCACTCATCATCAATATGGAGCTTGTAATTAGGCCCGTTAACTCAAATTGCCATGCCATATAAGCAAACCAAGATCAAATCAACATGACGAATGGCTAATAAGTCGAAACAATAGTAACTTCAACGATAGAGAGGATAACTAAATGTAAGAAATGTAGTTAAAAAGGGAGTAAGTTTGGGGAGTAAAAATTATTGGATAATATAGAAACTTAAGCTTTAAACAAGAATAAAGAATGAGTGAATATATGCCACTGTGATCTATTTTGAGCTTTCATCTTAATTTTCCAGTCGTTAATCAAACTTGTCACTCAGACCCTATATATCTGTATTCAATCGACAGTCAAAAGTTATCAATATTAAAATTGATTCGATAAAATAAAATACCATCTTTCCAGTGAATGACAATCAATTTAACTTTCCTTTTATCATCTATAAACTTCGTAATTCTCTACTATCCAAATGAGTTTTTTATTCCTACAAATACAAAAAGCAGTTGAGGGTATATGGTTAGTTACCAATTACTTTTTCATTTTTATATTTTGATTTACAGATGCCAATAATAATTCGGCGATTTTCAATGAATTACACTCTAACTATGCTGACTCTGAAGTATCTAATACTTCGAATTCACTGGAAGAATCTTCATCAAATTCTTCCATTTATGATGATAAAGACGTAGATTTAAGTGTTTATTTAAATTTGGATCAATTCAATAAAAGCAATGTAAGCCGAACATTACGCAGACTGGATGGATCCAGTTCTTCTTTGTTTTCTGTTGATGACGATGTTGACAACGACGTTTTATCAACAGACAGTGCCGAGTGGAATTATAATAATCCTAGTTGCGAATCAGATATAAGCAGCTTTTGAAAACAAAAACAATTTATTCAGCATTATCCACTTATTTTTGGCTTTCAAAACTAATATTTTTACTTCTTTTTTCTGAAAAAAAGATGATATCACACCTAGTCTTTGCATTTGTACTTGCTAAGAATCGTTTATACCATATTTTACAAACGATCATATTTCTACTTACAAATTTGTATTATGACTATTTTCCTCTTTTTCATGTTTGACAACATCTATTACAAAATAATTCACTTTTCATGTGATTAATATAACTGAAGAGGTTTTCGATTTTCACTTATTCTTGTTACGATCCTACCACAGGAACACCAAATACAAGTTAGTATCACTAATAAGATCAATAGACGCTCAAATTAAATCACGATACTAGATTGTATGAACTTCTATACATGAGGTGCGACGAAAAATTGAGAATCAGACAATAGATCAATGCTCCTCAGCTTTCAGACTCAAACTAAAAAAACTCAGCATGACATTAGGATAGAAATACAGCGGAATCCATCTTTTCCACATAGCAACAGTCAAGGCATATCTATCCTCGCCCAGTAACCAGTCACGGCTCACTACCATACAATACATCAGTGATGTACATATATAATTTCTATTGTCTATTCTGGAAGAAAAGTGAATCTAGATCACATTCATCGTCGACAAATTTTGAGATTGACGATACTCTATCCGTAAACGTATGTAAGCCCAAACATTATAAGCAGAAAGGGATGGTGGCTAGCAGTGGAATCCAGGACGCACGTGTCGTCCTACTTGGGACTTCTCAGCTGAATGTAACTGCATCTTGGAGTTGATGTCTAGTGCCGTTCGCTTCAAACTCCATCTCGTTGTCTACTTAGCTACTGAGTGCAGATGCCCACTAGTTTATGCAATAAAGTTTATTTAATCTCGTATTGGTTTGAATCTTCCTATTGACGTTTGGGACTGCAGTTGATCGGTCCCTTAGTAGCATATATTCATCCTGTGCATTACAGGCGAACGGTACTGGGTTCGAGTCCTGCACTGAACATCAATTCTAAGATGCATTAGTCCCAAGTAGGATTTCACTGCTAGCCACCATCAATCTCTGCTTACAATGCTTATGACTTAAGGCAATATCTGAGCAGTCCGCACAGGATACCATATGCCTATGAGAGAATAATTAATTGCAGTCCTAAACATCAATGGGAAGTTTCAAACAGCCAATACAAGATGAATTAAGCTCAAACATTGTTTGTTCTTTTGATGATCCTAGTCGGTTATTATTTCCGAAGACGGATCGTATAATATGTCAGTAAAATGCACTACTGATCTAGAGATTTAACGAGAGGTCTTTGATATTGATGTGAAGCACCTTTTTGTTAAATTTAAAGGGATGACGAAAGTGTCAGATTCATTCATAGTCAACTTAAGCACATACATTTTGTGGTACACAGTGTTAAAGATTTCGGACATATTTCCAACAAACAGTTTTGCCAAGGGAATTGTATGAAAAATAATCACAAATGAAGTAATTCGTTTACCAAATACACGTCGTGTAAAAACTAGTAACACTGTTCAGTTATTTAAACCATAATAAATGGAGAGATGTTCTAACTTGTAAAATGTTACTTAAAAGTTCAAAACTTAGATCAATAAGATATCAGTCCTATGTTTTGCTAGGACCTTTTATTAGGTTATTTATAGTTTACATCATATACTGACTTTAGCTATGGAACAACCAAAAGCCGTAAAGCACTGGACATTTGTTTTCTCCGAATATGCGAATTGTCAGTACACATTCATGACTTAAATACTATGCGAAAGTCAATCCCTGATGTAGTCTTGGGAATCCAGTAGTCTTCACAAAGCTAATGTATCAATTATGATTGTTGGTTGAATAAATAACTAGAAAGGGGAAATCATATATCTTATTACTGTCAGATTGAAGTGATATGAGTGACGTATAAATGGAATTAAGATTAGGTTATAATATTCTTATGACAGAAAAATAATATTATTAAATTATGTAGTTTCTTAAATATTTATTTACTATCAACCAGTATGTGTGTTCAATTGATTAGGCTTCTACCATGTTAACTGATTTGACAGTTACTTTATAACTATTCTAGAAACACTCTTTTGACTAAATGTTTTCAACATATTTTGAATGCATTAATATCTTCGTTAATTAATATTGTCACAAAAATTGGGTACTTGAACCGATCCAAACTAAAAAAGGAAAATAAATGAGCATTTAATTTTCAAACATTGAACACTCCGATCATTTATTATTCCCATGTAATAGTTAAAACTTGTTGCGTAAAGTTCATACACACACACAAAAGATCATTCAGTCATGCAAGTCGTATTATCAGATAGAAGTAGACAATTCCGCTTTTTTTTTACCCAAATCAAAATAGTCTGTTGCACACAGATTTTGTGTAGATTCAGTGAAAGTTAAACGTTAACTTCAGCTTGAACAATGCACAGAGTGAGAATAGCATTCAATTCACAATTATTCCAACTGAATTTGGTAATGAACAAGTATCATCAGTGTTTAAGAGTTGATATTACAACATGGTAACAAAAAGCTGTTATAACAATAGAATACCAATGTCTAGTGGACAAGTGTTCTATCCTACTTTTCAATCTTTATTCAGTGGATAATTCTAGTGGCGTTCCGATTGAGATTTCTAAATTTATAATTGTTCAAATATAAGGAGATTGAGTTACAATAAAAGTTATTTATTTTACAGTAAGTACAGTTTGATATCATCGTGCTCAGTAATTTGTTCAATAACTTCACTGGACGTAATTAATAGTAAAATCTTAATGAAAACTTTATAAATAATTCATATTCTGGTTGATGAGTGATTACTAGAAATTAACTTAAATTAAGTCACTAGTGTAATAAAATACTGAAGTGTGGAAAGAACAAGCTCATTGACAATGGAACGACTTTTCTAACTTCTAGTATATAGTTCTATAAGTGATTTGATTAGATTTCCTTGTCAAGGAAACTTGTTTAGTTGTATAGTTTAACTCTGTTGATTCTTTTTAGTAAATCGTCCATTATCATATATGAGACTTGAAGGAACGTTGCCTTCTCTTAAAGTGAGGTCAATTCAAATTTCAGAATCATAGAATATGTACCTTTCACGAAACAACTATACGTAAGTTGTTCTTCGGTTGAGTTCATTTTCTATCTTAGGATTCTCCTAAATGGTGGGTTTGAGTTTGCAAAATATGAATACATGCTTCCATACTTATATTCTCTGTTTACTAATTCATATATTATTGATGGATAGTGTTCATTATTAAAATTACAAACGTTAAAAATATCCAGCTGACAAGTCCTAAATAGGAAGACACGTACATTCTGCAATCCACCGCTAGCCACCATCATCTCTGCATGTAATGCATGTGATTTAAGTCAGTATCGACACAGCATGCACATATGACAATAAGAGACTGATCAATTGCAGTCCCAAACATCAATGAGAAGATTCTAACAAGTAATTTAAAATGAGTTAAAAATCTTTGATAGCATGATATGATGCATTTTAATCGATTTCAGATTTTAACTATATGGAATCTAAAGTTGTCGAAAGCTAGAAGAATTTGCATTTCACAGGTATGAAGATACTTCTCTCAATAAGTAATTACAATAATAAAATACCGTTATACAATATCTTATTAAATTCCACAAGTGAAACCTTGTAAATTAAAAGAAACGTAAATATATAAAGTCTAAGTAGTTGAGTGTTGATGACTTCTATTATAACTCGCGATTAAATTAAGGTTCCTAAAGCTTTTAAAATCAAGTCTAATCAAACTAAACATCAGGCTAAAAAGAAGTCTGAAGTGTGAATTTATGGTTTACAGAAAGTGAGTGAAAATTTAGTGGTAACTGAAGTTTAATTATTTATTGTTAAGATTTATACTACTAACTAGTACAAAAATGAACTATTTAAAAGTTTCAGTGTATTTTGTAATCATGTCCTTTAATACAAATAAATATGTTGTGTATTTTATTTAGGTATAAATATTCTCGGCATTAAGTTTGGTTTTGTTTACTGTATTTTGGCCCATTTAAAAGAAATCTCTTTGTTCTTTGTTTAATGTATTCATTGAATTTTAATACATTTTTCATCTATGTGTTGATTAGTTGTTTGCTTCACAAATTAGTACAAAACGATTACGGCATACTATCAAAAAAAAAAAATAATTAGTAAGGTGTTGATTGGATTTTTCCTGGTATTTTTCATAAGAAAATTCATTTTTACTCATAGTTATGAACTCGCGCGTTGTATGGCTTCGAAATGTATGTATGGTCTAATTGTATAGGTAGAACTACATTGTGGTATGCTTGAGTGTAGAAGAGTTATATGTAATAATTATTCAGTTTTTCTCCGGTTATTTTGTAGTGAATAAGGACCCATCTGGGTAAAAACATATTGTTTTTTTGTGAAAAGTTACGGAGGTCTTTGGAAAAATGTGAAAACCATACATTAAATACATTATTTGTACATCTTCTTACACTTGTCGTTTACATGATTCATGACTCCTTCAATTCTGTTGTTGTTAAAATTTCTCTTTGTTTTTCATTCTGTTCTCTTCAATTCAATCTTCTGCTTCCAGGCATTCTACTTCTTATCGGTGTAGCATACTACTTATATCTGTTAACATACGTAGCACATACCATAAGATGACTCTTTGTTTACACTCCTGTTCTCTTCGATTCTATCTTTTCAACCTTCTGCTCCTAAGTATTCCATCTCTGATTGGTGGTACATATTACTTGTATCTCAAGACATAAGTAGCATACACCATAAACCGGTATTGATTTTTTAGAATAAACGTTATCAAATATTTATGATATTAATAATTTATTGAATGATATTATATATTTAAATGGCAATGAATTGAACATATTTGAACTCTTCCATTAACTTTTTTTACATAAACTATTTCATTGGATAGAACATGTCAACACTGAATATTGTGGTAGAGAAAGATTTCATGATTTTTTCATTGTTGAGTATTGATATATCTAGAGCTTGTATTTCTGCTGTACTGCGTACAACTTGGGCACTCGAACTCTAGAACCTTCCAAGTCGCACCTTGGAAGACAGAAGACGAGTAAGGAGGAATCTTATTACAAACA